ATTAGAATTTAATAGATCTTTAATTTTGAAAAATTATTCTAAGCCGACTGAAACTGATTGAACTTATTACCATTTGTTGGCCACAGAATTGACCAGAAAATATACAATAATTGTACGCTAACTGAAATGTCCCGTGAAATGTCGTGAATACACATCTAATGTTTTGTTTCACTATGTAATGTGAGAGAATTATGCTTACTGACATTTACATTAAGTAACATTCAAAAACTCTAGTTAAAGTATGGTGAATATTACATTTATGTAAACTTTATTTTCAATATTGAATATAATGTGCATAGCAACAATGTGTTAAAATTTACTTTATTTTAATAAAAGTTTGCATACATTCAATGGAAATGTTATCTGTTTTAGATAACACTAATAGTCAAAAAAATATTTCTAAACTTGACATTCTGTCCTGTATATTTTCTAAAACCAGGCCGATCAGTGGCCTTGAATATCAAACAAGTCAGACTGTGACCAAACTGAACTTTCAATTCTATCAGCTCCTCTCTTCTCAGTAAAAGGTCAACATAATGTAAGCAGGTGAAGTGTTATTTGATGTTTGTTCAATGTTAAGGACGTCAGATCCTACTTGAAATTGTGGTTTTTGAATGCATATATCATGTAAGTTACATCTCTAATGTAGAAGAAAGCTCAGTCCTCAAAGATTTATGAAAAAAAGTAGGTTTTGCTCTTCTATAATAGTGATTAATCACATTTATTATGTAGCAAAATGATTTCCTGCTGAGTTTATTAACAAACGAAAACTATAATCTATTCATTCAATATTTATAAAACAATAGGTATGATAAAATTATTTCATGATAGATAACTGTAAGTTATTTGTTTAGCTCAAATGAATGCGTGATTTAAAACTGACATATGTATCACTGTTATAATAGTTATATTATTGAATAATAGTTTTATTTTGAACATTGACGACGTAATCGCATGTTGAGACATATCAAAAACCAATTTGTTTGAGTAGCACTAGGTATATGTAGAACACCACCCACCTTTGTAAAACATGTGTAAATGAATTATTTTGTCAAGTTATATGAATATAAAGTCAAACTAGTGAAACACTAGGTTTTAGATCATTGCATGATATCTAAATAAACGTCTTTGTCTGGACATTTTACATATAAATGGTCAGGAATTGTATAGAACTAATATATTAGTGTTTATGCCGATTGTATTAATTATTGTCATGTTGAGACACATTGATACATGACGTGTGCATCATCGTCTCTGACGTCATGGCCACCTGTAATGTCGGCCTAACAAAGCGCCCCTAGCAGCGCCCCTCTGGTGACATTTTGTGGAACTATGACGTCACCGTTTCCCCATTCTCTCCCTTTCTGAGGTCGGACACATGTAGCGCCCTCTGGCAGCGCGTCTGAAGCTTCGCCCTAACTACATCCAATAGATTTAAGAAGACAATGTACTAGACAATGAGAATTATAAAACTATTATTGTTAATAATTCGCATTTATACGTAAATCCGATTATTTTTAATGATGTCGAGCGGGTTGCACTGTGGTAAAGCCCTAGGTTTCGATGCTGACGAGCCGAACTCGAATCTGTGTAACACCACACTATATTCCCCGCACTTTAAGCTACTGGAGCTTTATAAAAGTTACAATCAATCCCTTAATCTTGAAATGGGCGTTACTGATTGGCTACCTTCCCTGTAGTCATTAGCTCAAAATTGAAGACGACGACATATAACCTTATTAGCTTTGCCATGAATACAGTAATATTGCCATATTATTAATAGTAGCATAGTATTAGTATAACGAGAAGTCGCATTATGTTTTTTGTAGCTCAACTGAAGTATTTCTATCGTTTTAAATATTTTACACATAACAACTCATATAATTGACTGTCTGTAGCCTACCTACGAGAACCAAGTAAACACAAACTGACAGGAAAATGCCTCCATTTTTCGTTTTTCACACTTGTATTATAACCATTCATTAGGATTTTTCTTGTGTTGTACTATGTTGAAGTATTGTTTCATGTCAGGATATAATGTTTTCACAATTTGACCTTCAGGAACTATGGATGGGGAACACGGCAAATTATTCAAATTATTAGACTTTTCTAGTAATGTTTAGGATGTGGTTGTATTTTGATTTAATTAACACACACGTCATGATACTTTATAAAATTACTGTAGACCGTTTTTGACACCACTTTCTTAAGATCGTGCTAAACTCGCACTTCGCTTTCTCTTCAACTTTATTAAGGTTGTCTTTATTGCAGTCAGGAATTGACTCGTACTAATATATATAACTAACTGCTGTTTATGTCTACAACACATAGATTTAGAATGAAGCATATTACTTCTTACCTTGCTCGTCCATTGGTTTATTCATTCTCTCTTACATCTCACGGTCTTTTTATTCTACATAACTTTTATATCCCTTTTTCAAAAATCACTCCAAACACTTATATCGGATTACAGTGTCTCATAATCGTAATGACTTTCTTAATCTCCACAGAGGCAAACAAGAAAGGCTGCTAATCCCTCCAATAGTTTTCTAAGGACTTAGTGCTGTAATCTCCTAAGCCATTAGGGACTGACCAAAAAACATTAAGCTGTTGAAAGATGAATTAAAAGAACACACAAAAAACTAAATTGTTAAGAAGTAAAATCGAGAAATTATAAATATTTACATATTTCTTTATTGATGAAAATCGTTACAGAAACAATATCCGTTGACGTTGACATGTATTATTTAAAACACGTTGTAAGATTAAAGAGATAAACCTTTAATCAGTAATAAATACACCATCCTAATAAGGAACAATTTTCAGTGTTTAACAATTAAAATCAATGAAAAAAAACTCAATCCGTATTCTTCAACCAACAATTTATAACAAAGACTATTTTAAGGTCTCACAAATAATGAAACAATTCAATACTAATGTTAATAATAACACTTTATAGGAATGATGTTTTGTGCTCTGTGCTTTACTTACAACTGCTTATTGATCGTCAAAGACATATTTTAACATATTTTTCTGTGCTTTCATTCATAGGTCCTTAGAATGCTCACGCTTATGGTCGTGGTCGCACTTTATTGACTTATATCACAATTCCCATTGTAACAAGCTTCTGCCAAGAATGAAGAAGTTAATCCTGGACCACAGACCTTGACAATTTCTCCACCGATCCTCCACTGTAAATAGATGTTGGCTTCCAGAAATACATATAAGCAAGCTAAAGGTACTAAAGCCATTTAAAATTGCGTCAGAGAACTTGGCAGGTATGTGGTCAAATGCGATTACTGGATTCCAATTTCTTTGGCCATCGGTTTTAAGAAAACATCCGTTCATTTCCAGGTGTGATTAGAAGCTTATGTATCTTGGTTTGAGAGACTTCGTTACGTTAAAGCTTCAATTCTTTATTATCTTATTGACAGTACCAGGAGATATGCTTAGTTTCATCACAATGGCTTTTTGGGTAGAGCGGTTCTCTTTTGTAGCCGTAACCTTCAATTTGCAGATGGAAGCATTACTTCTAATTGGCTTGGAGCGTTACTTCATAGGGTTGTCTTTCCTAAACACTCTTTTGCATAATTTCTTTCTGCTTCAATAAATAATACTGAAGGCTTACATCTCCAAAATGTTGTGTCCTTTTGCTCGCATCATTTAACAAACTCACTATTCTTCCTCAGATAGAGATCAACCAAAAGCAACCTTGCTATTATTGCAGTGTCGAGAATACGCCGTAAGTAAATAAATGTGCTAAACATGTTCCCTTGCGGCACTACGGTTTGTAACTGCGGTGAGGTGCAAAACTTTCATATAATATTCGAATAACCCTCTTCTAGATTAGAAATATCATCAAATATTTCATTTTTAATACTCTCAATACATATTTTCAGTAAAACAAGTACATTGTAGCATCTACGTAAGGTTTGTTTGTTTGTTTTTGAATTTCGCGCAAAGCTACACGAGGGCTATCTGCGCTAGCCGTCCCTAATTTAGCAGTGTAAGACTAGAGGGAAGGCAGCTGGTCATCACCACCCACCGCCAACTCTTGGGCTACTCTTTTACCAACGAATAGTGAGATTGACCGTCACATTATAACACCCCCACAGCTGAAAGGGCGAGCATGTTTGGTGGGACGGGGATTCGAACCCACGACCTTCAGATTGCGAGTCGAGTGCCCTATCCACCTGGCCATGCCGGGCCCTACGTAAGGTAACTGCCAACGAAGCATTTCATTCATTATCAGAGCTCTTCAGACTTGCCGTGATATCAGATATATTCAGGTAGTGTTGAGCGAAGCTCATCAGACTGGCCGTGATATCAGATGTACTCCGGTAGTGTTGAGTGAATCACATCTATCATAACCAAAACAGATGATATTGTGCATTGTTCTTACTGGGAATACGTATTGGGCCAAAATACCTTGAAATGTATTTGTGATCATTTTATTTTCATGCTAATGTTATCACAACACATCACATTTTCGAGAAGTCTTGATCACATGAGACAAATTTCCACATCCAGTCAAATTGCTGGACTGTATCTGTGACAAAAATTTCATAGTTTAAATTTTACCGCAATGTTGATATATCTTCAAGATACTTTTACTTATGACAAAATCCTAAGTTAAGAGTTTTTCTAAGCACCCAGTCGTTAGTCGAAATTAATGTATATTAAAAAATCAATCAATTCATAGCATTTGTTAATCTACTATGGTAAGCACTAACAACATTTCCACAATTATCTGTACAGTCCACCGGTTTATTTTATAACATATCCAACTAAGATTTTCAACCCTTCTTTAGAAAGAAACATAATTTGGCACTAATACAAAAGTATTTACAAAACGATATTTTTATTATGCAAGTAGCTCATTGGGTAGCTTTATGCTTAATAGCAAACAAACAAACAAGATATGGGAAATTATAACATTACACAAAAAAGGTTTTTATAAAATCTTAAAGAAGTATCAGCACCTCAATTTACTATTTCAGATTCGCCAGTAATAATTGTCCCTAACGGTTTCCTCGAAGTTGAACTTCAAACAACAGCCATCTTAACATGTGTGGTTGATTCCTTTCCTTCTTCACGAATCTATTGGGTTAAAGATGGTGGAACTAGCTTTACTTTAGGGAAGAAGTACGACATCAATGAAAGACCTGCCCGGGAAAATCAAATTGAAAGTATATTTAAGATTCACAATCTCCAAGATGTGGACTTGGGAATTTATAAGTGTTTGGCCAAAAATCCCGTAGGAATACAAGTAGCGGAAATATATGTATACGGTAAGTTAAATTGTAATATTCATTTCGCTTTATCACACGAGTTAAAACAAAACGTAATGGAAACATCACAATAAACAGTATATAAATATATCAATTACTATACATATAGCTGTAATTCAACATGTTTGTTTCACCTGTTGTTACTCATTAACCGTAAACTGGAAGTATTGTTTGGTTATACCAATCATTATCTATATTCTTTTTGTTTCTAAGTTTTTACATTGTTTGATAATGAAAGAATAGATTTACTTTTAATGCAGTTAACCATGTATTAATCATGAACTACTATTCAAAAAATGCATTCACAGTACAAAACTAAACAAACCAATATCACGAACCACGATAGTGGTTTATAATAGGGATCGCAAGGAACTACACAAAACCCTAAAGAACATTCGGGTCAAAAGCACCTTAAACAGTAAAAATTCAGTTCAAGCAACACTTTAAAACCTTTACTATTCACTGTTAAGGCCGTACACATAAAAATACTCAAAAAAGCCAACATGCCAGACTTACAAGAAGAAGAAAAAACGCTCAAACAGCCCGTTTGTAATTCTTTTTCTTATTATTATTATTATTTCTTGCCAGCCTACAACAAAAACGGCTTGGTATATTGCACCCAAACCTTTTGTAGAAAACTAAATAAGGTACTACGAATTTTGTAAAGTCGATTTGTTTCTTCTATATTTTACATAAGCTAAAAAAGCTAAAAACAGCATAACTCTAGTGTTCCTTTAAAAAGCTTAAGTGCAGGATGAAACAGGAATTACTAGTCAGTAATACATCAACATTATTGACTGTAACGTGTAGATACTCCATGCTTTGCACACTATACAATCGGTGATTTTAGGGAGTCAATCCCTAAATTATATATGAAATAAAAGAGTAAAAAAGAATCAATACACATAATATTAATTATATTACACACATTCATAGAATAAATACGTTAAAAGAAACGAAGGTAAATTTAAACCGATGTTTTAGACGTATATTTGAAAATTCTGCCACTTTACTGGTAAAATTTTATATGTGCTTAATGAGGATTGTGTTTTAGTCTAGGTATATATTTGCCCATTGCTATGCATTATATATAGAAAACTTAGTTACACAGAAACTCTAAATGTTCACTATATTTTCAAACAAATCTCCATGACAATCTCCAGCTGCAGCTTAACATTTTACATCTCGAACTAATGCGATCAAACAGCCAATAGCTACAGTAAATCATCATGGACTGTGTCAGCTAGCTGCTAGCTATGTTCATTATCATTACAGTGTATAAGATTAACTATCATATCAAGTAATCCTTTGTCTATAAATAAGCATAAAAAATTCAGCAAACAAGATAAATAAAAAAATGGGAATTTAAAAATCTGCAAATAGTGATCGTAAAAAAAATAGGGAAACAAGGTTGGAGATACTGCAGACATAATTTACCCAAACTAGAAATTCATATTTGACTCCAGCAAATGTAATTCTAGGTAACAGCATGTAGTCAAAATATGTTTTTTTTAGTTTGAGTAAATAATGTCTACAGTATCTCCAACCTTGTTTCCCTATTCTTTTACGATCCCTATTTGCAGATTTTTAAATTCCCATTTTTTTATTTTTCTTGTTATATTATCAATCTATCATTTGACTTTAGATTTGTTTTAAATGTCAACCCAGCCATGATGAATACTGGTTGAAGTAAAGTTCAAAAGATGTGTTATTTGTTAGTATTTGTTTATTCTTATTTCCCTGCTCATTTGAGCTCCAATTTAATTAATATAAATGGTACTAGGAACATGAGATGGAATTACCTACACAAGCTGCTAACTTAAACTTGCCTTTAAGTTTTGAATGATCTGTTGTGATGTAATTTTTAAATGTAAAGCTCAGAATTTAACTTTACAAACTTCTGCAAATGATTAAGTAAAATTGTAACATTTAGCCTAACAAACTTGTAAAAAATATTATTTAGCCAAAGTTTTATATTAATAAGTTCATTGCTGACTTTCAGCTTTTAAAAAGGTTCGTAACAATAATTTTTTCACGTAATACATGAAATTACTTCTATAACCTACAAAGTCCTGTCCATCAGTGGCTCAGCGGTAAGTCTAAGGGCTTATAACGCTAAAAATCGAGTTTTGATACCAACGATGGTTACAAGTCAGATAGAATATTGTGTAATTTTGTGCTTAACAGTAAACAAACAATAACTACGATGTCTTACTTTTAAATTATTACAAATTATAAATATGTGATCACGCAGAGATAATTCTTTCTAATTCTAAATGGTTCTGGTAAGTCTATTCTACGCTACAAACCAAATGTGTTTATAGTTGTTAATTCAAACTAATTATCTAAACATTTCAGTAATAGTTTCTCTAAGTCATTCTAACTTATTTAATTAGCCAAGTACAGTTGTATATATATATATATATATATATATA